TATATTTCGCAATATTGCGAAAGTTATTATGTAATATTACGGTTTTCTTACGCTTCGTAAATTATTGCGCAATATTACGCCCTATTAAATTTGCTGATGTATAAAGGCATCAATATTTTTAGTAGGTTTTTCATTTATTTTTATATATATAAACATCATAATATAAATTTTATTTCTGATAACAAATTAGTTATACTAATGAAAATAAAATTTAAAAATTGCAAAAAGTATCAAATTCTATAAAGATATCAATATTCTAGTAGATTTTTTGTAAATTTTTATGTAAACAAATTAAACTTGCATATTATGAATTTATTTCCAGATGACAAAATTAGTGTTAAATAAACTATAATGTTATTGGTATTTTAATAAACAAATAAACTTACATAATATGAATTTTAATTTTAATATTATTTACTATATATATATATATTATGCAATATCTAATTAAAAACAAAATAAGTGTTATCAAGAAAAAACTGTCATTAAAATTTTAATTATATTTTGTACCAGATCCAATTTATGTAATTTAATATAGGATTGTATCTGATATAAAAATATAATTGAAATTCCATTAACAAGTTTTCTTTTAATAACACTCAAATAAGATTTGACAAAAATCTATAAATAAGACATGCTTTAAGCATACATGAGCAGATTTTACTATTTTGCTCAAAAAAATATATATTATACTTTTTTTTAATATATATTAGTTGATTTAAATTTTTACTACATTCATCTTTTTTGATAAAATATATAGAAAAAATCTTATAAAATCAATATAGTGCCTAAATATCATTCTATTTCTCTATCTTCTTGCAGCAGCTATCGCTTAACACCAATGCCTCTACAAAGAGATCAAAGCAAGGTTTGTTCTATAACACTACAAAGATTAAATAAATAGCATTAAAGCTGAAGTTGCCAGTTCAGATTTAGGTTTAGATCCAGGTTTCTATTTTACAATAAATGCTATAAATATTCATATCATTGTTTTAAAAAATGACCTGCAGGTCGATAGCATAGCGGTTATGCTTCCAGGTTGCAAATCAGATGGTTGCCGGTTCAATTCCTCCCAGTAGCAAAATAATGAAAATCCAAATATGGAAGTGAAACACCGCAGAGTACAGGGAACTTGGGACATCTACGGATAGACATATTCGGGGAATAGTTATTCTGAGAAGTTGTAGCTGTGAAGCAAGGCGTGTTAGAACCCCGATTTGAAATAACCGAAGTCATGAGACGTACTGTGAGACCAAAGTTTGAGAAGATACTACAAGAACTCGTGGCGCCACCTCATAGGCAGAAATTCGTCTAATTGGTTAATTTTTGTAGATCTACCCGTAATTATTAGCCAATCAAATTCATAACTTTATTACAATATCGACATTAACTATTAACGAAAAACTGCAAGAAAATGAAAGCCTTATACGTAGGAAAAAAATACATAAATCAAAAAAATATATATTCGAAAAATACAGTATGCTATAAACGTATAAAGAAAATATAATAAAGCGATTATTACTTTTAACAAGCTTAAACACTCTATATTTCACTATATATAAACCAAGATCTTTAAAAAAACTTAATACGTTTCAAGAACTAATCTAACTTAAAGCCGATCTTATACATTATATTAGACCTCCTTATTAAAAACCTTGTTTTGTCTAAAAACCCAACTTAAGATCTTTTAATCTTAAAAAAGAAAAATAGATATTTTCGTTAGTAACTGTTTCTATTTAGCAGTTTAAAATTTAGAAAAGGCTTTTTTTTCTTTACCTAGTTCAAAAAGTCGTTATTAAGCCAGCTCTTCTTAAATTAGAGATTATTAGAGATTATTTTTGAAGTTAGCTTTCTAGCACCTCTTCGAAGCTAGAAACGATATTTGTTAAGGATAGTTACTTGTGTAATGTTACGTTCTTAAAAAGTACTCTAAACCATATAAATAAGTTACCCGGTCAATTGATTTGCATTAGCCAATCAGATGAATTTCTGCCTATGAGGCCTATAATACCGACAGGTTTTCGCTGACTCACTTCGATTAACAAATTATATCACAAAGTGTAACGTGAAATCACACTTTTTTTGAAAAATCGTAAAATCAAAACCTTCTGCGCTCCTTCCAAACCTGACCTAACTTTATTATTTTAAAACATTGTGCTTTATTCGATTTTTTTAATATAATTTGATTGATCAATCGATATAGTCGCTGAGAAGACATCGAAAACAACTCTAAAGTAACATCATCAAATGACCTACAGTATTGATTATCTTCGATGATCAAGTAATTATTACACCTTATATGGCAAAAAAAAATTTTTTTTTTTATATCAATAGTAATAAATTTGAAGATCAGAAAAAAAAACCCATTTATTTCCATTAATATCGATATATAGAATAAACACTGTAGGTTGATCAGTATACGTATTTCTTTTTTTTCAAAAAACATCATCCTATGCCTTCAAGTTAACGTCAAAGATCTATTAAAGATCTTAAAGATCTTACACCTGCTAACTATACAATACCTCGTGCATTAAAAAATGGATCATCGAAGGAATCAGTTGCATCAACACTTACACTTTCACGAGTTATTAAAACTCCTGCACCTAAAGAAAAACTTATTTCAGCGGCAAAAAAAGTATCTTTAACAACTTTGCCTAGTAATTTTCTGCAGAAAAGGTCCTTAGTTAATCAAAATACGGCTACATTTAGTATTAATACACCACTCATTGAATATAACAATAGTAGAGTAATATGCACTTTGCCGAGTTTTGCATCGTTTTTCAAGTTTCCTGAATCGACTGAATTGTGTAAATGGCAATTCGAATCTTCTCTTACACCTAATAATAATAAAGATATCCTTAAATCTGGATCTAATATTCTACATTTGGATAAGACTTTTCAAAATATCATTTGTCAAAGCAAAGATACAAGTGCAAAATCTCAAACCGAAATGATTGAAACTAGATTGACGATGTTACCCTGCATCCTTCCAAATTTAAAACCTTCCAATGAATCTTGTGAAAATAAACAATTAAATGAATGTTCTGATGATCTACCAAGATATTTACCTTCAGATGACGTACTTTATAATGAAAATTTGTTAAAAAATAAAGGAAAACGCATCAACCCCACTTTTGAAGATAATCCATTTAATGGTAATGATTCAATCAAAAAACCAAAGCATATAAATCATTTATCTGATAATTCGATGGTCGATAGTATGTCCAGCAGTCAAGACCATGTAGCCGACAAAACTGAAAGAGATCAGACTTCCCTTATTAATAATTCAAACAACAATGTACAGGCTTCTAATTATCAGCCTGTTACAAAGTCAGCTCTAAATTTTAATCTTAATAATAAAACATCTGAACGTGACGAATCTGATAAATTGTTCAAGGATACCACTTATTATTCTATTAGCACTATATTCAACTCTGACGCTATAGATATCATGCAAGATACTCGACTGATTTGGCGTTCCTTTCAAGAAAAATGGTCTCTATTTTGGGATATGCGACCATGTGTACTCTTACAAGAATTCACACGATTTCATGAACTTCCTGATCCTCTTTATTCTTTAAGAATTGGATCTGATGGTGCGTTTTGGTTCGATTGTTCGATTGGTGCTCGTTATTTCAATCCATTACAATCTTGCTTTAATTGTTGGACTGAAAATGATGCGATTGATTATGTATCAATTCAGGCTTTTGAAATTTTATATATCGAACTTAGTGAATTTAGAGGATGTGATATTGAATATCCTGTACATAAGCAAGCAAGATGTTGTCATGAAGCTGTGTTGTATCAAGGATTTGACAAGCTTAATACAACTTCACCTAATTTTCGTGATCAATATAAATGGCACCATCATCAGCGCAAAACTGCTTCATTCTGGAAACGTCGACCTTGTATTCTTTTATATGAATTTTGTCAAGCTCATCATATCCCTAATCCAGCTTATTCGTTACATGTAAATAGAAATACTGGTGCTTTTTGGTTTGATTGTTATATTGATGAGCGACTTTTCACTCCTCAAAATCAACCATGTATGTGCTGCTGGATACAAAATGATGCGATTGATCACGTATCAATTCAAGTATTTGAAACTCTATTTTCTGAATATTGTGATCAAGATATAAAAGTGTTAAGTTATCCAACACACAAACGAATAAAATGTTCCCATATACGTGGATATGATAATGGTGCTCGGAAACCTGTTGAGCTTGGTGATGGTCACAATGAGAATCGTGTTTAGAAAACTTTGTATCGTTTTCTGAGAAAAAAAGGTTAGAAAATAGATAATGTCTTAGATTTTTAGAGTAAGATGTGTGGGGGTTTATTTTCATAATAAAGGTGAAATAAGTCATGAAAAATGTTCTTGATAAACATGAAAGTATTTCTATTGGGAATTCGTGCAATTATAAAAGATAACAAAGAATAAACTTTATTGATATAGCTGTAATTCAATAAAAAAAATTATGAGGATTCGATCAATTTCTGCGGCGCCTTTCAATTTGTTCATAAATAGTACCTTTTTCATTTAAAGTTTTATCAAATTTTATTTTCTTTATGCTTTAATGATTTTACTATGAAGATGATACGTGACATATGCCGAGCCTTAATTACTCTTAGGAATGCAAATAGTACATCACTAATAGTAATTGGCTGGAGCTGAGAGGACGAAGTGAAGCCTTTCAAGCTTACTCTACTGAATTTTACGATCCAAATATTAGGTTCAATAACAAAAATTGAATCTAGACTAGGTTCGGCGTTTGGATACCAAAATCTTGGTTTAAAAATGTAATAACTAACTTATAAGTACTATTCATTTCACGTTTCTATATGATCGCTTGTAATCGCAAAAAAAGCCAATTTACAGTAATACCTGTCGTTTTCGCGACAATGCTTGTTATTTCCCAGTAATTTTCGTTATTTGTCCGTTTTTTTTCTAAGTGCACTTTAAATTTTTATACTGGATTTGAAAACAATTCTTTAGTCTGCATAATAGTTTTATTTAGGGGGAAAGTTTTAAATCTCTTAGCGATCACAAATCACAATGGTATTATTTAAACGAAAGTTTTAAAATTCTCTTAGTCACACAATAGAATATAATAAAGATATTTATGGCGAAAGGTTTTTTACAATTCTTTAGTCGGTGCGATGATATCATATTAATAAGAGTAAAAGTTTTCTTTAAATTCTTTCAACTAACGTGACTATATTATTAAAAGCAAAAATTTGTTTTATAATTATCTTAGTATGGCAAAAAAATCATAAAAAGTAAATTATTCGAGTCGAAAAACCCGCCATGACATTATATTAAGCGAAGAATAGCAGAATTAGAAAAGAGACGATCTCGTCGCAAACTCAGCTAACAATTAATAACAATAATATTAAATCGAAAGAGAACATAACTGGAGTAGTATATGGATTACATTTGGATCTGTATATAAAACGAGTTCCTGTTATAACGGCAAAACTTTCTAAATATCTGATCGTTGAGCCTATATGAAATTTAGCCATGTAAACACTTTAATGCGTATGATTGTCTAAGAATGTTAAATCGTTTACATGCTATTGTCTATCTTAATGCAAACACAAAATACCCTTTGAGCTGATCAAATTCTCCAAAAAACCGTTCGATATCAAGAGACTTGGTATTAATTTTTCTAATGACCGGTTAAATAATAGTGATATTACTATAGCTTATATTCGAATTTGATTTGTTATAGAGCGATGTCTCTTTGTTTCATATCGGGATATCTCAGCACCCACCTGACCAAAATCGATGAACTTTTTTTTTTATTTAATTGTATAGATTAAGAGAATTCAAACAAAAAAAGTTCATCGATTTTAATCAGGTGAATGCTGAGGTAAATTCGATCAAAGTTTTGTAAAATTTCAAACGCCTATTATTAAATAACTGTACAGTACTGTATAAAGATTTGTTTTTAAACTTTGGTCGAAGGTATCTTGTGATCAAAATCGGTGAACTTATTTTTTTTTTGAATTCTCTTAATCTCACAAAGAAAAAAAAAAAGTTTAGCTATTTTGGTCAGGTGAGTGCCAAGATTTTTCGATAAAAGTTTAAAGACAAATCTTATTTAATAATAGGCGTTGAAATTTTACAAACCTTTGATCGAAGATATCTCGACATCTATCTGATCAAAATCGCTGGATTTTTTTTATTTTTATTTGAGAGATTAAGAGAGTTCGAAAAAAAATAAAAAAAGCTCAACGATTTTGCCAAGTTGGTGCAAGATATCTTCGATCGCTTAAAGACAAATTTTTATACAGATATTTAATAATAGGCGTTTGAATTTTACAAAACTTTTATCGAAGATTTCTCAGCACCTACCTGACCAAAAATCGGCGAATTTTTTTTTTTATTTGAGAGATTAAGAGAATTCAAAAAAAAAAAAGTTCAACGATTTTGGTCAGGCGGGTGCCAAGATAAGTTTAAATCCAAATTTTTATATAGTTATTTAATAATAGACATTGGAAATTTTACAAAACTTTGATCGAATATATCTCAGCACTCACCTGACCAAAATCGTTGAACTTTTTTTTATTGGAGTTCTCTTAATCTCTACAATTTAATAAAAAAAAAAAAGTTCATCGATTTTGGTCTGGTGCTGAGATATCGTCGATAAAGTACTGATTAACCCACCCTAGATTGATTTGATGAAAGTCAGGGTAACACAAATAAAGATCAAAAGCCTGAAATACGGCCAAGCATACTTTATTATTTTACATCGCTAGAAAATTCAGACGTGGCATTTGGATGTGCGGTATGCAAGTCAAAACTGTGTAGTAATCTCTTATTTTACTTTATTTAATAATGTTCTTTCTAGCATCCTTTACTTCACTGAGTCCAAATTTAAAATACAGCTTAATTAAAATGCAATTCTTGAATGTGTGCCAGGTTGATGGCGCATTAACCAGCCAAAATGATCTCTTTTATTTCAGTGTGTACAGTGCATTCGTAAGATTTCTTTTTCAACGAAAACTTCCACCATGTGTTTCATCAACCGTTCTGTACTTTGAATGCTTCTATTTTTCTTTTGTGAATTGAAGGCATTACAGAAATAATAAATTTTTAATTCGATCATTATAAAAAGGTACTATTATAAAGAGAGTTGACGGTACTTAATATATAGTAGAGTATATTACAGTAATTTCGGAAATATGTAAGGATAACAAAGCTTATAAAAAATTTAATTATAAAAGTAAACGTCTTTAACATTAAGGAACACTAGTACTGCATTATTCTTTTTTTAAAATACGATTCAGCGTAAATTATGAGAAAAGTTTTTTTCTCATTTAAAGAATGTGTTTTTTTTATAAACTATATAGTACGTGTTTATTTGAGGTTTATTATCATACTTTAAAGCCATTATTTTTTTTTTATGCGCGTATTATATTAAGAACTTTGACGTTTTGTTCTGTAAAAATTTTGAAAATTATAATTTATAAACATTATAAAAGTAAGAATACAAATATTTTTGAATTCAAACCAATAATATTAGAGTGCTTTTTTGAAAATAACAAAAACATGATTCGCAAATTATTTAGACTGATTAATGCGCCACTAACCTGGCACATATTCAAGAATTGCAATTAAAATAACCTTTTTTGCTTATTGTTTAATTGTTAATTATACCAAGTCAAGTAAATGCTCAAGTATTACAAAAGCTGTCGATTACTTAAAGAAATCTAAACCTTTTCTAAAAGAATAAGTTTTTGGAATAGGCAATAATAATTCAAATCAATTACATGAGAAAGAAAATAAAAAAAAAATCCTTAGTAGGATTGTTTTTTTTTTTGCGAGCACAAATTTGACCTTTAAATTAGTGCCAAAATTTAACTAATGATAATTACTTTAAGATTTGAATATTAAATTTGGGGACTTTAATAAGGATTTAGTTAAAAAAAACTCGCAAACTGCTTAAATAGATTCCGAATCCTGATTAAAAAAATGTCAACCAAAAAGAATATTTTTTTTCGTTAAAAGCAAAATCAAAATAAATTAATATCGAGTATACTATTTAAACGGCACAATGTAAATGCGAATTCTTTAATTGTAAATGTTCTAATTTGGTGTCTGTCTATACATGCCCGTAGAAATTATTGCGGCATAATTTTTACCTGAAATTTGACATGCGGCAATGCCTAAATCTAAAATTCATACCGCAACTTACGATCAATGCCGCAACTTATGACCAATGCCTAAAGTCATAATTAATGTCAATATGTTGATATGGTGCCGAAAGTAATAAAGTATAATTAATATAATGCCGAAAGCAATAAAGTATAAAGTATAATTGATATATCATCAATTGATGTAGTGATTTTAAGTGATGTAATAAAAACAAAAAATTTTTATAATTTTTATAAATTATTATAAGACAAATTGCGGCAATTAATTTAGATTATGACATTTGTTTTCGGATTGCATGACTTACGGCTTTATTTTGCCGAAAAATCGGTGCCTAAATACTTTCGGCGCAGCCAGTATCTAGATAATACCCAAAAAATCAGATAAATTTCGGCGCGGGCTACATTTTCGGAAATTTGAAAGATTTGTACATTACAAGATTACTCGATATCATTAACCAATCAAATCACAAAATCATATATTTTCGAGCTTGGGCTCTTTCTACTACAAGACCTCGTATTTTAAACTATTATACTGTATACTGTATTTTATTACTATCAAATTTTATATCTAAAAAAAAAAAAAAAAAAAAAAAAAAGGTTCACTTGCTCATTCTTAAAATTTAAACATAAAATTCAAAGTCTACTTTAGATTCGGAACCCGGATTTCGAATTTTTTGTAAGTGGATATATAATATTAGTATATTCAGAATCCATAAAAAATTCAGATCCTAACAAACTTAAATTTATGCAATTTATACAATTAAAGCGATCGAATTATTATTTACAGTATACGAAATATACACGTATTTGAAGTGATCTTTTATGTAACATAGAATTTCCTTTATTTCGAACAAGTTTTTAATGGTTTGTAGAGTTCCAATCCATTAAGCATTTATCCGGAGAACTATCAGAATCTTTTATTCGGACATCCATTTACCGTTTGCCACTGTCTACAGTATCCCAAAAAATAATACCCCGTGATTAAGACCAGTCCGGTCCTGACGGTCTGAGTCGGACCACTTAGCAGTCCTACTATCGCGGTACTTCATTAACTCAATAATACGTAAAGACCGATATTCGCTTAATTAGGAACTGAAACCAATCCAAATACTCACAATAATTACAGTCATAAAATAAGAATAAATTAGTCCCTTATCGAATACCAAATTAACTGAACAATCAAACGTGAGAAAAAACAAATATCCTCCTATTGAAGATTAGTAATTCGACCTTCCCAAGATAAAGTTACGAAACCATAATAGTGAAATCTACATTTATCGTGACTAATACGAAATGCAAATATAAGTGCTCTGTACTATATACACGTATATATAAGAAAATGCATGTTCTTGTTATATTAAATTACAAATTTGAATACAAGGATAAGAAATTTTCTAAATTACTAAATTACGTTTTGATATGATCTTCATTTGTAATGCAGCCGTCCTCCTAATCAAGATCCCAATGCCGCCTTAGGGTTGTTGGTGCTACCTTGCCAATTGCGGATTCACACGCACAGCCTTCTGCAATATTACCTTTTGTGACCCATATCACACGTAGTGCCCAATCTTCTCCATGGCTTGGGACTCCTTCCAGATGCATCAAAAATGTCACTATTTTTGGTCGCGTAGACACTAAGTAGTCGATCCTTATTTATCGACTTGACTAAGTCGATATTTCTAAATATAATCAACATAAAATCGACTATGCCGATTTTTGGAAAATCGGCTTACTAAGTCGATAAAAGTCGACTATGCGAAATCGACTACAACACTAACTAAGGGTCCTTATTAAAAAAATTTAATTAATTTTGTTTTGCTTGTTCACTTTAAAATATATATTTGTTGTTTTTTATGGTTTATAAAATTTTTTGAGTTTGATCACATGAATGACGGAAAAGGAATTTTATTCACCTTATCGTTATCTTTTCGCAATGATTATGATGTACACAGCGTTCTAATCGCTTCGATAACATATTGCTTGGTCATCAAACGTATTTATTAAAAAGGAAAAGATATTAAGAGTTCATCACATAGGGTTAAATTCTTCAGAAGCCGGGGCTCGTTGAGATAAAAGTAGTCAATCAATTTACAGATTCTCTGTCTCGTTGCACGATAAATATAAATGTAATACAGATGGCTAATCGTTATAATTTGATTAATAATGAAATATCTCATATTAATAAAAATAAATACTGAAATTGTCATTAATCGAGTGAAGTTAGTAATCAAAAATACATAGATGAACCCGCCAAAAACGCTTAAATACTTGTTTACAATGCCTTTCTCGCCTTTAAGATAATTTTTCCATCTTATTTAGTACTGAAAATGATTATTAAGGTCATTGGATTTTCATACTCAACAAATACTCTCAGAGTTCTTTCATGTCTTAATGAATTAGGTATTCCATACCAACTCGACGCTCCAGCTAATTTTGCGGTTACAAAAGAAGAGGATTATCTCGCTAATAAACACCCTTTGTAAGTATCATCCTTTTCATTGAAACTTATTCCCTTAAAATTCATTGCTTATTGTCGATATTATAATTACTAACCTGTTATAATATTAATTATAGTGGAAAAATTCCAGTTCTTTATGATGGAGATTACAAAATTGCCGAATCTCGCGCAATTTGTCGTTATTTAGTATCTAAATACCAAGGCAAATATAATAATACGATCTTAATCCCTAACGATATTCACGAAGCTGGATTAGTTGAAGAATTCATCTCTTATGAAGCATTTTATTATGAACCACCGGCTTCAAAAATCGTATATTATGAATTATTTTTAAAAACTCCGGAGTCTGAAATAGTTAAGCAGGCCCTTAAGGAAATTAATAAGGTTTTAGATGTTTTTGACAAGCTTTTAGAAGGAAAAGAATATTTAAATGGTGGATTTTCTTTAGCTGATCTTTTTTATTGTCCTTGTGCATATTATATCTATTCTACTCATGCTGATCTGTGGGATAAAAGGCCTAATGTTAAAAAATGGTTGGATAGGTTAAGAAATAGAGATGCTTGGAAAATGTCCTTGGAAAAGAAAAATAAATTATAGTTTGGTATGAAAAAATTTTTATGTGGTTAAACGGTTCCAATCCTTATATTTATTTTTAGTATAGTTGGCTTAGTTAGCATGCTTTTTTATATATTCTCTAGGTCTATTTATTTTTTACTTTTAAATTTATCTAGTAAATTGGCAAGAACTTGTATTTTTCTTGTAAAGTTATTATCATATCCACACACGTTAATGTGATAGGAATTTTACCTTTTACATTTGTAGTTATAAGTGCACTTGATTGGTCATAATATATTGCACTTTATATGAAATCTCAAGCAAAATATGCCGATTCAATAAAAAGAATTAAAAGTGAAATAAAAAATTTTCATGCGTACCAAATACATATGTACGTCCATTTTTAACTGATCGAAAAAATGCCTAAATGAAGTACAAAACTTTATGCAAAAAATTTAATTATCAAGTTGCCAATGTATGGGATCCTATATATTTGTACAAAAAAAAAAAACAAAGTGGGATTGCATTTACAAAATGACTTAGAAGAGCTATGAATCTAAGTAAATTATCAACGAATTAATAGCTTTATACTAACTATAACCCAACGTAAAAGAATAAAAATATTTGAGAAGCATTGTATAATATAAAGTGATTTGATGAAAGAATTGACAGATAACACAAAAGCTTTAAAAAAATCGATATTTTTAAATACAGTATTAAAAGTTTTAATAAAATAAAAGAATATTAGTTAACTTTCTAATAATATACTTTAACAGAACTTTATTTTCTTGATTTAAATGATTAAAAGTTATTGCTACATTTTAATGCTAAAAAGCTTTTTCAGTTGTATAACGCCTTATCAAGAATTGTACTTTGTTTACAATTTTGACGAAAAACATCCTATGGAAGGGGTCCATTAAAGTCAGATGCGTCTACATAAATTATATTTTTGATATATATTTATACATAAATAAAACTACTTACTGCATCAAAAAACCAACCCTAACGTACGTACGTACCTGGCTTTAACGTTCCCCTATAGGAGGAGATCAAAGGTGTCACGAATTGAATAAACTAGATACCATGCTCCTTGATCTTGATCGTGCTCATGCCAATGGCCCATGCTCAGGATTATGCCCATGCGCTTTTGTCATTATATTGCACTTAGTAAATAGTTTTTTTATCTTTTTCCGTCTTGTTTACAAATTATCAATACTACGTAAAAAAAAACCTAAGCTTATTAATACTATAATTTGCCAATGCTTACAGTACTTGATCGCATTCAATAAATTAGCTCCATCATACTTTGTATATAACAAGATAGTCTATGCGAATATAAAATATAAATCATATAAATAATGAATTAAAATGTGTAATTACTAGCAGCTAGTGATAAATAAATAAATAAATACAGTCAACCCTCTCAAAATCGGTATGCATGATGGACAGGTTTTGTGTCAATTTTGAGAGGTTACCGGATTTGAAAACATAACAAATTATTAGATTTATATAATGGGAACGGACTTGGTAGACTACTTTAGGGTTAAGGGTCCCTATTAGGGTAGGATTAGAGTTTTTTTATTTTAATTTTTTATAAGATTTGACAGGTTATCGGTTTTGACAGGATCGGTTTTGAGAGGGTCAACTGTAATAAATTGAACTTATTTATGATTGGTAAACTAAGCATAACAATAAAAAGATTTTAATACTGTATATAGAATATATAATTTGTATTTTATTTGATTAATTACCGTAGATAAAAAACATGCAAATTTGGTTAATAACATGGTTATTTTGTTAAAACTAAATATTTCCAAGTCATTAAATTATAGGCAAGACAAAGTTATATTAAGTAGTGCAGTATTATAAGGGTTCTACATAATTCTAAGAAAAACTATTTTAAGCTACTAAAGTAAAGGTGGTTTTGGCTTTTTAGCTAATTTTTTTTTCAAATACAAGTGAAATAGATTATTAAAAAAAAAATAATAAGTTATTACCACTTTGTTCTCTGCTATTTAGAGAAATGTGAAGCGGACCTATAATTGGGATAAGTATACATTATCCGACAAACTTTTATGATCATGAAAAACTTTCTTTCTGTTATTTTTTTTCATGTGTTACGATGTAATTATGTTTTTCCAATATTCAAA